CTACTCGGAAGGCTGAGGCGGAAGGATCGCCGGAGCCCAGCAGGTCGAGGCTGCGGTGGCCGGGAGCGGCCACTGCACTCCAGTCTGGGTGACAGAGTGAGACTCCAACTCAAAAAAAATAAAAATAAAAGAAATGCAGTTGTTTGTGTAAGGGAGCACTGTGTGAGCTTGGGCCTATCTGCCCTCACAATTTCCTCCTCTTTTCTTCCTGAATCATTCCTTTCCCATACCTTTAAAGCACTGAAAAACACAAGTGCATTTCTACAGGTGCCACAGCTGACAGCCACTATTTTTTCTTTTTGAATTGAGTTCTCACTCTGCCACCCTGCTGAAGTGTAGTGGCAGAATCACAATGATGCTGGCTCAGCCGCCTTGACCTCCCGGGCTTAGGCAATCCTTCCATCTGTCTCCCAAGCGGCCAGGACTAGACGTGTACACCACTATGTCTGGCTAATTTTTTTTTTCCTGTAGAGACAGGTCTTGCTATGTTGCCCAGGCTGGTCTTGTACTTCTGGGCTCAAGCAATCTTCTTGCCTCAGCCTCCCAGATAGGTGGGATTACAGGCGTGAGTCACTGTGCCTGGCCAAATCACCATTATCTCTTTAGGGACATCTTCACACAGCTTTAAGTCTAAAATGGCTTCGAGAGCCGATAAGCCCTCTGAAAGAAAATGTTTGCTGAATTTTTAGTCAAGAGAGACAGACTCTAAGGGGCTTTTAGGTAAAAACATGAAATCCCACTAATGCGAAGGATCAGGAGCATTCTTCATTTGCTCTAACCACATCCTCAGAGAGCTTTTTCTAGTGTTTATGAATAAAATGAATAAAAACAATCTTCACTATCCAAATTTGAGGGAAAGCACCCAAGTTTGACAGCCCTGCCTCTGCCTTGGAGGACCAGGGTGCCCCAAACAAGCAGTCAGGCGTTGGGAAAGGAGGATACCCTGTCCCCCACAGAAAAGAATTCGAGACTGACATATACCATATTTCCCACCTGGAATCTAGCAGAATTAAAAACAGAACAAAACAAAAAACAAAAAAACAAAGGACACATGACTCTGTGATCATGAGGTAAGTATCCAGTTAGCTGGCTTTTCTATTTATCTGAAAGCTCTGAGGAATGTTTCTAGCTAATGACATACTTCAGGCAAACAGTTCTGGGTGCCTAGATCAGTGATGTCTGAACACAGCAGACCTGAGGAATTTCTCAATCCAAAGAACCAGCTTTGTGCAATCTTGTCCTTAGTAAGGCTGGTTCCCACCCAATAGGCATTAGGATTACCCAAGGGACTTTTACATTCCATTGGGAGTTGGAAGGAAGTCCCTTAAGTGCTTAAGGCTGCTGTGGGGAGCCCAGGCTGGAGCCACTGGCTCAGACACCCATCCTATCAGTGCCTCGAGAAGACAGGTTATCTCCGCATGCCCCGGCCAAGCTCTGTGGCTTGTCAGAGCTCTGAAAAAAACCATGCACTGAGGAAGGCGAGGAATCATTCCTTCTGCATGCTCTAAACAGAGAGATAATGAGCCGCCCTGGGGCACTCAGCGAAAGCCCCAGATGGCCTTGAGAGGCCATGGTTCTTAGGGTCAGCAGGAAGAGCTAGAAGCTTCTTTTTCTAGAGTCACGAGCAACTCTTCTAGAGGTGCGTGCGGTAGGAGCTGGGTTGAGAATTCTCTGGGGATTCCAATGTCTATCAATCTCATCTGCTAGGCGAGCAATTCAGAAGTGAGTATGTCTCTGCACTTGAGCTAATCTAATACAGAGGGTCAGTACTGGGGCCACCCACCCAAGACCATGGTAGCTGGAAGATACCCGTGACAGAAGACTTCCCAGGAGGGGGAGCAAAGGTGTGTGTATCCTTGAAGTCTTCTCAGGTACTTAAGATGCAGGTTTCTTTTTCTTTCTAGATCCATCACAATTTCCTCCATAAAGTTTTGTACCCTTCACACACACACATCCCAATCCCATTTTAAAAGTTTTAGGTTTTTTTTTTTTTTTTAGTTGGGGTCTCACTCTGTCACCCAGTGGCACAATCACAGTTCACCACAGCCTCAATCTCTGGGCTCAGATGATAGTTCCACCTCAGCCTCCCAAGTAGCGGGGACTGCAGGTGTGCACCACCATGCCCAGCTAATTTTTTCATTTTTTTTGTAGAGACAAGGTCTTGCCATGTTGCCCAGGCTGGTCTCAAACAATCCTCCCGCCTTGGCCTGCCAAAGTGTTGGGATTACAGGCATGAGACAATATGCCGGGCTCCATTTAAAAAGTTTTAAAAGGTTTCTGGCATGAAACCTTCTCACCAAAACAGCACACAAGTCAGCACCCAATCCCATCCCACTCAACCTGCCTGCTGCAAATGTGGTGACAGTACACATCCTCATGTCTCCTGCGACAAGGATCTGAAGAAAGCAGTCGCCCTTCAGTGTTTGGAAAAGTCGTGTTATATTTTTAACCTAGTGGATTAATCAGTCGAATCTCAGACGTGACAGAGCAGGCTTCAGAATTTTTTTTCCTTTGTTATTCTTAGCTCAACTTCCACAGCTGAGTAAGAAATTTTTCATGTACTTGTAAGAGTGCTAAAAATGTTACTCCTGCCGGGCTCGGTGGCTCAGCCTATAATCCCGCACTTTGGGAGGCCGAGGTGAATGAATTGCCTGAGCCCACAGGTTCAAGACCCGCCTGGGCAACTTGACGAGACCTCATCTCTACAGTAAATCAAAAAAATTAGCTGGGCGTGGTAGTGTGCATCTGTAGTTTCAGCTACTTGGAAGGCTGAGGCAGAAGGATCGCCAGAGCCCAACAGGTCGAGGCTGTGGTGGCCGGGAGCGTGCCACTGCACTCCAGTCTGGGCGACAGAGTGAGACTCCAACTCAAAAAGAAAAAAAAAGAAAAAAAGAAAAAATGTTACACCTTCTCAGAAGGATAGAGAGTTGGCCCTTCTTGTACCTTTGTCTCTGAATCTTGAGCAAGTTGGCTTGAGAACGCTATTGGGGGAACACTCACTAATCTTTTCATCATGAAGAAGCAAAAAATAGATCAAACACTCAGTGATGCACAATAAAGGAAGAAAGGGGACTGTCTACAATAGTGGTCTGTCCAAGTAATAGCAGGTCCTAAATAACACAGCTCTCTCTTTTTTTTTTTTTGCTATATTCATTCTACATCCCAATGAACCTTCTAAAAATTATAATAAAATGACAGATGTTCAATACTTCATAATGTGCCATCTCAGCCTATGTTCAACAACAAGGTGTCTTAACCGTGTGCTTAGCAGCTCTAATGAGGTGCTCTACAATAGGAGTTAAATATGGATGCAGTATTGGTATAAAAGATCATACTACAGTATTAAAATCTGTATAGAGCAGTTCTTTCAATAATTCAGAATACTAATTAACATTTCAATTCATGTAACATCTTAATTGATATGGCAAAGCTTAATGGGCCAGGTGGTAAACACCGACATTAACAAAACAAAAATGTATTTCAAAATGCTACCTTATCCTAAAGAAGCTATCAATGATTGCCTCATCTTTTTTCAAACTATTAGGACTGATGAAGGAATGTAACACTGTTTTTTTTTTTTTGAGTTGGAGTCTCACTCTGTTGCCCAGACTGGAGTACAGTGGCCGTTCCCAGCCACCGCAGCCTTGACCTGCTGGGGTCCAGCGATCCTTCCGCCTCAGCCTTCCAGGTAGCTGGAACTACAGGCGGGTGCTACCACGCCCAGTTAAGGAATGTAGCACTTTTTATTTTTCTGAGTTGGAGTCTCATTCTGTTGCCCAGGCTCACTGCAGCCTCTACTTCCTGGGCCCAGACGATCTTTCCGCCTCAGCCTCCAGAGTAGCTGGGACTATAGGCTCACACCACTACACAGGCTACATTTTTTTTTATTTTGTAGAGACGAAGTCTCACTGTGTTTCCCAGGCTGGTCTCAAACCTCTGGGCTCAGGTGACACTTTTTAAGTGAGAAGTATCAAGATCCAGACAAAGTGTAACTTTGGCAGAAGGTACAAAGGCTATATCCACTCAAAGTAAAGACTCCCAAATGCTCCTACAGCAGCCCAGTTGAGCTTAAACCAAGGGCCAGTCCTTGATATCGCCAAGTCACACACACGTGGGGGCCCTCCCATCTTACCTTCCTCTTTCTGGCCACCTTGCTGGAGTTGTCCGGGCTCCTTTTCTCAGAGTGGCGCTCCTTCCCCATGGCCGGCAGCTTCTCTTCTGGCTTCTTCGGATGGCCTCCCTTCCCTGAAGCCTGGGGTATCCGTGAGAGGAGGTCGAGGGTTATCTTCACTACCAGACTCTGAGGTGGACGAGTGTCCCTGGGCGGAGAGAGCACCTTGGTGTCTCTCAACGGCAGCAGGAGTCTGTCTCTGCGGCCATCCTCCTGGACCACTACGGCCTGGCGGCAGCCACTAGTCCTACCACCGCTGCCACTGTGGGGTGGGCCCTGGCTCTGAGTCAGGGGAACAACAGCCACATGCTCAGGGCTTCTGTCACCCGCATTGTCCTTCGCGGGGTCTGGGCCTGAGACCGCCTTGGGGGGACCCGAGAGAGGGATCCTGTGCTTCTTCTTTTCGCTGGAGGCTGGTGCCGCAGGCTTGGGCTCCCTGCTGCCCCCAGCTCGAGGTCGTCCTTTCGTCTTCACCTTGGGCCTGTCTTTGGAAGTCTGGTCTTTGGAGCCGTGGGGGGGTCCTGGCTCGCTGTCTCCCTGCTGGCTGGCTCGCGCATCTGCCAGGGCAGGGGCCTTGACAGGTCTCTTGGGTTGCTTGGTTCCCACAGTTTGCCTCTGTGGGGGCTCCTGGTGCGCGGGAGATTTCTGGCAGCTTCTCTTTCCAGGGTGGGGACCTTCAGAAAGGGACGCGGGGGGCTTTGCTGGAGTTTTTGGGGGGAGGAGGATCTTTGGATTCGGAACGCTCCTGACTCGGGGTGCTGCTGTCGCCCTTACTCTCCTGATTCCGATGAGGGGACTCCACGCCCCCGGTGCCTTCCGGGGGCACGGCGGGCTGACTGACCTTGGTCAGCCAGTTGTCCAGCTGCCATTTGTTTGTCGTTGGAGGCTCAGGCTAAAAATTAGGAAACAGAGAAAAGTGTTAATTGACTAGCGATGATAAACTATTCTTTTGTGTTAGACACCCAATGATACGGGACTGTCCTGGGGAGAGGTAATCATTCCAATCCTAAGAATGTAGGTTCTGGCCGGGCTCAGTGGCTCAGCCTGTAATCCCACGTCTTTGAGAGGCTGAGGTGAATGGATTGCCTGAGCCCGCGGGTTCGAGACCCGCCTGGGCAGTGAGACCTCATCTCTACAATAAATCAAAAAATCAGCCGGGCGTGGTAGCGCATGCCTGTAATTCCGGCTACTCGGAAGGCTGAGGTGGAAGGATCGCAGGAGCCCAGCAGGTCGAGGCTGCGGTGGCCGGGAGCGGTCACCGCACTCCAGTCTGGGCGACAGAGTGAGACTCCAACTCAGAAAAAAAAAAAAAAGAATGTAGGGTCTGTTTACACTCTCAAATCATAAGTCAAACTCCATAACATTTAACTCTTAAAGCAATCTTCAATTTTTTTGTGTGATTTGGAAATTTTGCTGTAGTAGATATGGACTAATAGGCTATTGGCAATTTTATAATGCAAACATTTTTTTATGGAATCTATAATATAAACAGAATCGACGCATTTGGACTTGTAAATTATTCTATTAGAAAATACAAAAAATGAAGAGTTTTAAACACTTTACTAAGTGTTTTCAGAAGGTAGGTAATGAATAACTAACTTTCAGTGATTACCCCGGGTTTCATGCTATATTCTTATTTGTTTTTTGACATACTTTTCAACTGAAAATGATTCTTCTTCAAGAGTTGGTATCATTTCTCTTATTTACCAAACATTATACAGTAAATATTTATATATGACAAAATTATCAGTGTATCACAGATACATCCTAATTTTTCAATTTTACACCTTGGTAAAATGAGTCAAGTAAGGTCACATTAGCCAAACATCAGAATTACTAGGACTCGAAAGTCAAACATCAAGTCTCTCATTATGGGAAACCTGGTCTGAAATAGCACCTGTGTTTCTAAGGTACAGAGTTAAGAGCAATGAGATTATGTTGATTAGCTGTACAATCGTTTTGACTTGTTATCTTAAATGGTATTTCAAACTTTGCTGCTAAATTCACTACTGGAGAATCCCATCACATGTCTCTGATGAGGCTATGAGACCTTATTAACAGAATGACAGACTTTGGTGTCTCCAAACTCCACTACTGCATCTAACATTCAGTGGGTACACGAGATATCTGTGGTATTCCTTTAGCTGTATTTCCATACCTACGGATTTCATATCATACAGAAAGCTAGTAGCGTCTATTAGAGTAAGCAGTGATCATACTTACGGGCAATACATCATTGGCTTACTATGTGTTTTCCCTAAGATCCATTTTGACAGGTGGTTTGTATGAATAAGTCATATACCCAGTACACGTGGATATTAGTCGAAAGATATTCCACCTGAGACTTAACTGGCTAAATTATGAATAAGGAGAACACTTGGATAGGTGGAAGAGTTTTCATTGGATGATTTGCTCACAGATTTCCCAAGTGGAATACCCCAAATAATTCAACTCCATAAAAACATGAAATCAGCCAGGCTCGGTGGCTCAGCCTGTAATCCCGCACCTTGGGAGTCTGAGGTGAGTGGACTGCCTGAGCCCACAGGTTCGAGACCCTCCTGGGCAACTTGGTGAGACCTCATCTCTACAATAAATCAAAAATTAGCCAGGTGTGGTAGCACGCGCCTGTAGTTGCAGCTACTTGGAAGGCTGAGGCGGAAGGATCGCCGGGGTCCAGCAGGTCGAGGCTGCGGTGGCCGGAGCGGCCACTGCACTCCAGTCTGGGCTACAGAGTGAGACTCCAACTCAAAAACAAAAACAAAAACAAAACAAAACAAAACAAAAAAACATGAAATCTAACACTGCAAAATATGTAGATGGGTACATAAAAGCTTTTTGGTCAGAACAAGGTTAGGCGATAAAATGGCCGGGTAGGCGGCCTGGCTTAGTGTGACCGTAACAGAATAGAACTAAGGAACCTGAAGAAGCCAGGTGAGACCACATTTTGCCAGAAAGATGACTGGATACTGCCTTTTTTCCTGCTGACTCCATCTCTCCTTTCCAGCTTCCTTCACTTATCTTAACCTCATACCGTGCTCTCATCCGAATTCCAAGGCAGGGAGGGAGGTAGGAAGGAGGAGACCTAGGATGTGCCAGGCATCTGTCCCATGCACTCTAAATCTCTTCTATATTCTAGCAAGGCAGGTTGACTGTTAGAGGCAGACAAAAGATGAGCACACAATACCTGTTTGTCAAACACGGTTTCCTTCAGAGACTGGGGGCGGAGGGGGGACGGTTGTTTAACACTGGTGGCTAACAGATTGGCAAGCTAGTGAAACACATCACATGCTGATCACAGCAGGAATAAGTCCTAACCCCCTTCCTCAGGGAAGGGACGGCCACAGTTCACCCTGGCTGTGTTGGCAACTGCACCCCAATCACTGATATGCTCTTTAGGAGAATACTGATGCGTGCACTAAAAAGGGAAGCCGTTCCTGGTATAAATAACATCTGCCTTCCCCAGACTGCAGAGTAGGGTAGTATTGAGATATGTTTCATGGTCCCTGAAGAAATGTCCTGGTTACAGAAATAAAACACTTTCTTCCACGATGGTCCTGAAATGTCCAGAAGGGAGGCCTACAGCCCAATTTCAGGGTGAAATTGAGCTGTTGTACCCAGACAAGAGGACAGGGTAGGAGCAATTCTTGTTGGGTGCCCAATATTAAGTTACAAAAGAGAGAACATTCAAGGTTAGGTATCATTTGGGTGCCAAGATGGGGAAAACGTTTGCCTAAATGGCTGATTAAACATAGATTTTAAAATAAAATGATAAGTAGGTAAGTGCAGGAGAGGGCCAGGGTTTTCATTTCTCCCTCTGCCTCTCCCCACCCTCCCTTCTGTCCTCCCAGTGCTAGTGCAACCCAAATATGGCAAATTGGAAGTAGGAAAAAAGTATCTGATTGGTTTTCATTGAGTGTCTTAATAAATGCTTAGCCGCATGTCCCTTTACCTCTTCCAACCTCTTAAATTGGCAAAAGTTAGTATATTTTTGAACGAATTATGGTTTTAAATAAGAAGTTTTGAGCTACATACAACATAGATCTACTCTTTTAGCAAAACTACAGAGTGATGAGAAACAGAAGTGCAAATTTAAAGAAAAGAAAGTGCATTAACAATAGAATAAAGGATGTGAATGTTAAAATGAGTATCTCTGGTTAATGGAATTCATGTTACTCTCAAGCAAACATGGGAAGTTTCGATTAATGCAGGTATTTCTTTTAAAAATAAAAGTAAAAATAATGTTAGGAAAAATTAAAAACTTCAAATTTAAACAAAGATCAAACATTCCCAGGAAGGTGAACCTCAGTACACAACACACACACTGTCCCCAAGCTGGATCTGCACATCAACACACACACACAAACACGAGCCTTTGTAGTAAAGTGACTTTAAGAAACAAAGCAAGCCGGCTCGGTGGCTCAGCCTGTAATCCTGCACCTTTGGGAGGCTGAGGTGAGTAGACTGCCTGAGCCCACGGGTTCGAGACCCGCCTGGGCAGGCGAAACCTCATCTCTACAATAAATCAAAAAATTAGCCGGACGTGGTAGTGCACGCCTGTAGTTCCAGCTACTTGGAAGGCTGAGGCAGAAGGATCCCCGGAGCCCAGCAGGTCGAGGTTGCGGTGGCCGAGAGCGGCCACTGCACTCCAGTCTGGGTGACAGAGTGAGACTTCAACACAAAAAAAAGAAAAAAGAAACAAAGCAGCCAGGCGTGGTGGCTCAAGCCTGTAATCCCAGCACTTTGGGAAGCTGAGGCGAGAGAACTGCCTGAGCCCACAGGTTTGACACCAGCCTGGCAACGTGGTGAGACCTCATCTCTACAATAACTCAAAAAATAAAATAAAATAAAATAAGCCAGGCATGGTAGCACACACCTGTGGTTCCAGCTACTTGGAAGGCTGAGGTAGAAGAATCACCTAAACCCAGCAGGATCAAGGTTGTGGTGGCCATGAGCATACTACAGCACTCTAGCCTGAGTGACAGAGTGACTCCAACTCAAAAAAAAAAAAAAGGCAGAATGGGAGCATTTATTTTACACCTAAGGGTAATATTCATTCTATTCCAGTAACTTCCTGAGCAGTAAAATGGAACTATGTCTCATTATCCCAAACACCAGATTAAACTGTTTTTCGAGTTTCAATTATTCAGTCAAATCTGTACCATTTCCATTTCATTCGAATTAAATTTTATTACTTAATTGGATTATCTTACTTCTAACAAACATGCAGATTTTTCTTATGGAGTAAGGTGAAGCATACTCCATATCTTATGAACACGAACAGTGAACATCACACATTTTGTCTACATGCATTTTTAGTCCCCCCTGCTTTTTTCCCCCTGAGTTGGGTCTCACTCTGCCATCCAGGCTGGAGTGCAGTGGCATAATCATGGCTCACCACAGCCTTGACCTTCTGGGTTCAGGTGATCCTTCCACCTCAGCCACTCAAGTAGCTGGGATTACAGACCTGTACTATCACACCTGGCTAATTTTTTTGATTCTATAGAGACATGGTCTTGCCATGTTGCCTAGGCAGGTCTAGAATTCCTGGGCTCAGGTGATCCTCTCACCTTAATCTCCCAAAGTGATGGGATTACAGGCGTGAGCCACCACACCTGGCCATCCCTTTCTCTGAAGCATAGGAAATTATTTCAATAGCAATTAGTATTATACAAAGAAACAAAGAGCCCAGAAACATGCAGAGTAATTTCTAAAATCTGAAAGGCACTTCAAGTGCAGTTAATGCTGACCCATGCTCATCCTTTCCAAAAAACACTGAGCATTTCTTTGCCAGACCTGGATTCCCATCTCACAGAAAATAATGCAGTCATTTTCTCAGCCTCCCTTGCACTCAGACAAGGCCCTTCACTCTCAGTCATTAGCGCCAGATGTACCTGGCTAATGTTCCGGTGGGCTGCCTTGCTTCTAACCAGAGACAAACACAGAAAACATGAATGCTTTCTTCATCAGAAACCTCCAATCCCTGGCATGTTCATCTTACATGTGCAGAACAATTCTCTCTATAGGGGCTGCACTCAGCCACCAAAACCCAACTAAGAATACCTTCCCTTTCCATTGCTTTCCTTCCCCAGCATAATCTCTGATGTTGCTACCCAAGTCTTGCAAGGATATGGCAACCGTGGTGCTTGTCATTGAGGCCTCGTATTCAATAATCCAACAAACAGCACAGACCCTCAGATCCAGCCTGTGCTAGAGATTCCCGTCTCCTCGGTCTGTTCATCTTTATGACATCACCTGGGGATGAGTGACACGCAAATGCCTTCATTCCTGTTTCACACAGGGCTGAAGGGAGTGGAATGCAGAGCCCTGGCAAAACCACTTCGCCACAACTGAATGCACGGCTTGTAGTGATTCAAAAATAGAACTCCTGATGGCTTGTCTCTAGTTCACACTCCTGCTCTTTGCTAAATCAGGTGGGCTCCTTTTGCTCTCCTTAAATCACGCATTCCTGAAATTTCAGAAAGAACTCTTACTAATATTAAAACCACGGCCTGCTGAAAACAAGTTTTCTTTTTCAAAAGAAAGGAAAAGAAAATGGTGTGCAAACATTCTTAATGAGTTGCTCCTCTTCCAAACAACACCAGCAGCAACAGGGGAGAGAGGATTTCGCTCCCACCTCTCCTCTGTCAGATAGTTGGTGGGAAACAAGTAAACAGAAGCAGGCGGCTCTCCACGGAGAAGAGGCACCATCCCACGTACAGAACAATTTGGCCTTCTGGTCAGGCCTAGCCAGCGGCACGGACTCCGGCCCTAGGGCACAATGCTGCCATCTGATGTGGCCACTTGGGGGGACACGGTACCTCTGGAGCAGGGGTTTCTAGGGGCTCATTCTCCTCGCTGTCACTTGAACTGCTCTCACTCTCCGAGTCTGAGGAGCTGTCTGAGTCACTGGTGCTCTCGGACTCTGCACTGCTGGAATGTGCTGATGCCGCTGGTTCTGGAAGGGACTGCGGAGCGCTGCAAAGCAACCGAAGATAAAATTAGAAGGCACCATGCAAGGAGGACTGCAGCCTTTCCTCCCCTTGCCCGCCCTTCTGCTCCTCGAAAGGAAGGGCCTGTCTTAGATGATACCACTAAACTATCACATCCTCTGGCTCAGAGACAAGCCCATGGTGGCTCACAAGAGAGTGAAAACTCCCAGAAATAGGTCATCAGATAGCTGCATAAAGGAGGAGCCCATGTAATTTAACTCCCGAATAACATTATTCAAGCTATACAAAATTTAAGTTAGATACTGTGTGCTTGATAGCAAGGGTTGGCAAACCATGGCCTGGACTGGCTGCGTGCTTTTCTTTTTTTTTTTAATTTTGTTTTATTATTATTATTATTATTATTATTATTACAGAAACAAGGTCTCACTATGGTGTCCAGGGCTAGTCTTCAACTTCTGGGCTCAAGGGATCCTCCTGCCTTGGCCTCCCAAAGTGTTGGGATTACAGGCATGAGCTACCAGCACGGCCTTATTAGTACACACTCATACCCATTGTTTTATATACTATCTGTGTTTTCTGTTTTCTTGCTCCAATAGCAGACTTGAGTAGTTGCAATAAAGACTTCTATGGCCCACAAAGCCTAATATACTCACTAACTGGTCCTTTAAGTTTGCTGACCCTTGCTACATATGATCAAAAGAGAAATTAAACATAAAAGAAAAAGAATTTAAGTTCTCCCTATATTCTCTATACAGGAACTAACAGCATGGCAGCCAATGGCCATTGAATATAAGTGGTGTTTCTTGGGAGGTGAGCTCCAAAGCAATTATAAAACAGGCCATTTTTTATGAGTAGCTTAGGGATCATGCCCAAATACCAGTCAAAGTAAAGTTCAGTTTTAAGAACAAGGCAAAAATCCTGTATCAGTGAGAAAACTCTTTTTTTTTTTTTTTGAGTCGAGATCTCACTCTGTTGTCCAGGCTGGAGTGTAGAAGTATGATCATGGCTCACCACAGCCTTGACCTCCTGGGCTCAGGTGATCCTCCCACATCAGCCTCCTGAGTAGCTAGGACTAAAGGTGTGTGCCATTACACATGGCTAATTTTTAAATTTTATTTTTGGAGTCAATGTCTTGCTCTGTTGGCTATGCTGGTCTCGAACTCCTGAGCTCAGGCAATACTCCGGCCTCAGCCTCCCAAAGTGCTGGGATTATAGGTGTCAGCCAGCATGCCCAGCCAGCAAACACATATTGATCACATTGCCAGACACATACAGAATTTCAAAGCATGCATAACCTTAAAACCTGGCCCTAGGTGGTATTACTTAAAGCAGTAAATCATTGACTATAATCATGAAAGCTTTCAAATCTACCCAAAATATTTTCAAAATAGATTTTGATTAAATAACATGCAATATTAGAATAAAAATTTTAAAGAATAACCCAATCACTCGTTGAGGTAATTTCAAAACAAACACACTATACCACTACACAATTTCCTCACAGAAAAGCTGGATCAAATTTGTGATCCTGCAAACACAGCCAGCTGAAGAGCTAAAGCCAGTGGTAGGCAGGATGGGACAGATATACTTTCAAGGTCGCCTCTGCCGCTAATTTATTCCCACCTTGGTTTCTTCTTTTCCTTCACTTTTTTTTTTTTTTTTTCAGTCAGAGTCTCACTCTGTTGCCCAGGCTGGAGCACAGTGGCACGGTCATGGCCACCAAAGCCTTGACCTGCGGGGCTCAGGCGATCCTTCCACCTCAGTCTTCCAAGTATCTGGGACTACAGGCGCGCGCTACCACGCCCAGCTAATTTTTTGATTTATTGTAGTGACTGAGGTCTTGCCAAGTTGCCCAGGCTGGTCTCAAACCCCTGGACTCAGACAATCCTCTCGCATCCGCCTCCCAAAGTGCTGGGATTACAGGTGTGAGCTACCACACCCGGCTCTTTTCCTTTACTTTTAAAAGTTAGGCTACTTTGTCACGTTTTACGAGTTGTCATACCATCCGAAATTACTGAACAAAATGGGAAATAAACAGACCTTACAAATCCATGAGCCCTGGCATAATTACTCAGGCTGCCTTCACATTAACTATAACAGTACCTGCATGATAGGTATATGTCTTTACTGCAGACCTTGCCTCTGAATGGATGAGCACATCTCAAAGGAGTAAAATAATTTAACTCTTTGTCCACGAGAGGTAGTTACTTGGCATATCATTAAATTCGGTATCAGAAGAAAATATTATAGAAGTCATTCAAATGGTTCCCAATACCCCCCCAAAAAAGCAGCACATTTCCTCAAGTGTGGCTGCCTGTTGATCAAGTGAAAACAGTGTCATTTCCCATCACACTAAAATGTACTGCAGATCGTTTCTAAAAGCAGCTGAACAATTTGAAAATTCATATAACTAAAAAAACAGGCACTACAGAAAACAAGTTGTGGAAATAATTCAGCCTTGTGATTTTGAAAACCAGTAAATATCTCACCTTCATAAAAACACTAGGTTCTTTAGCCAAACTTCAAATACTGGTTACACAAGACTGTTGATAAACTGTACTTTAAGCTTATTTTTAAACGCTGAAAAGTCTTTCGCCTCTAAAGTGACACTATATGTGAGTGCAGGACCTCTCACATTTAAAGGCTAACAACCTTCCTGGCTGATCTAAGGACTGACCTAAGCTCCTGAAATATTACATAGGTACTTTCCTCTTCCTGGGATCCTCCTTCTCCTTCCCCATGAAGAAACCACAGAAGTACTAAAGAAGACTTTCTTCTTCCCATTTGGCTAAAAAGGCAAGTTTGCTACAGAGATGGGAGAAACCCGCACGGTACCTTGCCGGTGCAGATGAGGGAGGAGGCTTCTCTGGGGTCTAGGCATTCCCAGTAAGGGGAGGAAGGACCAGGAAGAGAACAAAAAACAGGTTAGAACAAGCAGCTCGATCTGTGAGGCGGATTTCAAAGGACTGCCGGTGTGATGGGGCATCCAGGACTTACTTGTTCACTGTCACTGTCCTCACTGTCACTGAGCTGAAGGTCATCTTGAAGCATGCTGGAGTGGGCAGGGACAGACAGTGGAGAAGTTGAAATACTTTCTAATAACTTTTGGAAGCATAAACAGAAAATATGCCTAATGATACAAAAGAGGGCCAGGATAGGTCTACGTTTTCCTTATTTCTCAAATGCTTTATTTTCCTGGAAGTGGAAGTTTTAGCATTATACAATTACAATATATAATTGTCAGCAATGCCACTGAAACCATCTCAGTGCAGGTCTCTAATCATCTCAAAACTCTATCTTGGTGGGGCATGGTGGCTCATACCTGTAATCCCAGCACTTTGGGAAGCCGAAGTGGGAGGACTGCCTGAGCTCAGGAGTTCAAGACCAGTCTGGGCAATATGGTAAGACCTCATTTCTACAATTAAAAACAAAACAAAACAAAACAAAAAACAGGCCAGGCACAGTGACTCACGCCTATAATACCAGCTCTTTGGGAGGCGGGGGTGAGAGGATTGCCTGAGCCCAGGGGTTCGAGATCAGCCTGGGCAATTTGGTGAGACCTTGTCTCTACAATAAATCAAAAAATTAAGCCAGGCTCAGTGGCTCAGCCTGTAATCCCACACCTTTGGGAGGCTGAGGTGAGTGGATTGCCTGAGCCTGCGGATTCGAGACCCGCCTGGGCAGCAAGACCTCATCTCTACAATAAATCAAAAAATCAGCTGGGCGTAGTAGCGCATGCCTGTAATTCTGGCTACTTGGAAGGCTGACGTGGAAGGATCACAGGAGCCCAGCAGGTCGAGGCTGCGGTGGCCAGGAGCGGCCACTGCACTCCAGTCTGGGTGACTGAGTGAGACTCCAACTCAAAAAAAAAAAAAAAAAAAATAGTCAGGTGTGGTGGCGCATACCTGTGGTTCCAGCTACTTGGAAGGCTGGGCAGAAGGATTGCCTGAGCCCAGCAGATTGAGGCTGCGGTAGCCGTGAGCATGCCACTGCACTCCAGCCTGGGTGACAGAGTGAGACTCTGACTCAAAAAAAAATTAAAACAAAAATTAGCGGTGCTTGGTAGTATGTCTGTAGTTCCATCTACTCGAGAGGTTGAGGCAGAAGGATCACCAGAGCCCAGCAGGTTGAGGCTGCAGTGGCCACGATCATGCCATTGCACCATGGCCTGGGTGACAGTGGCATTCCAACTCAAAAAACAAAACAAACAACAAAAAAATCTCCTCCATATTCCACATATTCTGAACATGAAAATAGAGCTACCACAAAGTGGATCTGTGACCAGCCCTGAGACCAAGTGTCCCAACCCCTAATCCATGAGGATGGAATTCATGCAAACAAAACCAAAATATATACATATTACACTTAAACAATGTTCTTCCATAGTCTCTACCTGAACTAGAATCATGAACTATAGATGAGTTAATGTTGAATGAATATTTGTTGGAACAGTGCCAGACACATAAGTGCCATCTAAGAATACACAGTAAGAAGCATGACACCACCAAGGCATCCGCCACCAAATAGTGCAGTGATCTTATTTTTTTCCAAGGGACATGAAGGGTGTACTCAATCGTACACATGTCATCAATTCTCTTTTGTCTATGTGAACACTGATCAATGGGAAAGAGCAGGAATACATATGCTACTATTGTCTACAGAGTCTCTTTAACATTATTCCTATAACTTTGGTGGGGGAGAAAGGTCAGTTCACTTCCTCAAACTTCTATTAACACTTACCACTAGGCAGTCTGGTTTCTGGTGAACCTGAATACTAAAGGCAACATTTTCCAGTCTGTACATGTGTTGTTAAATTTTAACACCTAGCCAGGCGCTGTGACACACGTCTACAACCCCAGCGCTTTGGGAGGCAGAGATGTGAGGACTGCCTGAGCCTAGAGGTTCAAGACTAATCTGGGCAACTTGGCAAGACCTCATCTCTACAATAAATTAAAAAATTAGCCAGGTGTGGTGGTACAAGCCTGTACTTCCAGCTATTTGGGAGGCTGAAGTGGAAGGATCACTTGAGCCCAGGAGGTCAAGGCTGTGGTGGGCATGATCATGCAACTGCACTCCAGCCTGGGTGACAGAGTGAGACTCGAACTCAAAAGAAAAAAATAAGGTTAATACCGCTCACCCTTAACCTTCTTCCAAGGAGATGCCCAAATATCAAAGGAATGAGTCAGGTATCAGGTAACTGCTCTCTCCCACTTCCTCCAAAATTTTATGAGCTTGACTGTTTGAGAAAATGTTATAAGTAAAATTGAAAGGAAAATCTGCTGGAATACTCCTGGTGCTCCAAAAAGCAAATTATTCAAGGTGAAAATCCCTCAGTATTTCCAAAAAAAACCTACGTCTTTAATAATCTCCAACGATTTCTACTGCAAAGCTCTTACCTACCACTGAAGCAAGCAGGCATGGGTATTCTGGGAAACCTGGATAAAAATCACTACATTTTCTAATGAAAATAAATCACAAAACTTGGCGCTTTCGTAAATGACCGCCTACATGCCATGTGGCAATTCTGCCAAGGAACGACTTTCACAAATGTACTAAAAACATCCTGTGATAAGTTTCTAAATAAAATGAAAACTGTGAGCAACTTGTAAATGCAGATCTTGCTCAGTATTTATCTAATAGATGATAAATTCATATTTTAGTAAGGCTAGAAAATACAGCCTTTGGTCATAAGACTTGGCAGTTAGCAATCAGAATGACACACAAGAAGTCACTCGGCAGGTTTACTGCTCAGTGGTGACTTGGCTGGAATACATACAAGCAACAGATAAAAGATGTATCTTTACAACAAATGTAAGGTATAAAACAACCAGAAAAAAGCCTGGCAAAGTGTATTCCATATTCACCACTACCACCAAAACTATAGTAAATGGACCACTTAGTTACTGCATTTCTTATATAAAACAGATTTGCCTTAATTTCTGTGATATCAATGATCAAGTAACCCAACCACTCTTCCTCTTGGACAGGATTAAAAGTCCTGAAACTTTTTCTTCTACCTACTGGACATCTAACTTCCATGTCTATATTCTCCTAAAGTAAGTCAGAAAGTTACAGAATGCTCTGGCTTTTAACTCTACTTACTCTTGGGATTAACAGGTACCATGAAAATGCTATTCCATTCCCCTTCAGAGAATTATGTAGACCAGAAGAAAATAAGCCTGCAGGTATAAAACCCATTTGGGATCAAAAAAGCAGGAACCATGATGTCAAGGGAGACTGTGATGGCTCTCTTCAAAAAAAAACTCTCATAGATGACAGACCAATATGCTGGGCTTAGGTGATTGATCCTACCACCTCAGTTTTCCAAGTAGCTGGAACCACAGGCGAGAACCACCACACCCTGTGAATTTTTTGATTTATTGTAGAGAGGCAGTCTCGCCAAGTTGCCCAGGCTGCTCTTGAACCCCTGGCCTCAGGCAATCCTCTCACGCCGCCTTTCAAAGTGCTGGGATTACAGGCATGACCATGCCCAGCAAGAACCAGTCCTTGAATGCGACAAACAAGAAGAGAGACAGCGGCACACCTGGGTGGGTACCTCTGCACCAACTGAGAGAGAATCCACATCTCTCAGACCCAGTCTCATTCAGACCAATCAAACCTTGGTCAAGAGGCCAGAAAGCGCAACGAATGTGTTTCCTCCTTCTCAACTAGCAACTTTCCTGAGTCCAGATCAAGTCATTTCCACCTTCAGATTTCCTGTCTAGTACTTGGCAGGTACCCTACAAGGCAGGCTGGATAAATAGTGCCCCTTTGCTGAATAAGGAACAGTGTCCTATAGCTGTGCCCACTCTGTGGCCAGAGCTTTACAGGCATTGCCTGGATTGCATTCCTGTGTGGTGACCATGAGCATACTTTCATATTCTAAGAAAGAGAAAAATGGCCACCAGACATACTTCAGACTATGAAGCTGGCCTTCGCTGGAGCCAGGATGTAAAACCTATTCCATCTGACACAAGATCCCCTTGCTCTAGTCAGTATATGATAAATAGTCAGAAATCCTAACTGATTGACTAAGTTCTAGAACCCACCAAGAGAAAGACCTTAATTTAAAATGGCACAATGACTAGCTGGGTGTGGGGGCTCATGCCTGTAATCCCAGCACTTTGGGAGGCCGAGGTGAGGACTGCTTGAGTCTAGGAGTTTGAGACCAGCCTGCGCAACACAGCAAGGCCTCATCACCAAAAAAATAAAAAAGCTAGTTGGGTATGGTAGTATGTACCTGCAGTCCCAGATCCTCAGGAGGCTGAGGAAGGAGAATCTACTGAGCCCAGGAGGTCAAGGCTACAGTGAGCCATGATCATGCCACTGCCCTGCAATCGGGGCAGAAGAGTGAGGCTCTGACTCAAAAAATAAATAAAATAAAATAAAGTAAAGTAAAAATAAAATAAATGACAACACCACAGTAATCATCCTGTTGGAATAAAGTGAACATACCACATATAACAAGAACTCTCCAAATGGTAACAGTAGTTAGCAGGCAGAGTTCAAATACTAGATTTCCCTTATTTTAACTGGTCAAATAACTAATTTCATTTCCCAATGCCAAGGCAAGGCAGTTCTTTCAAAGCACATGGCACCACATGGCCTACTATGACACTGTTCAAAAGTCAAATTGCTCAGGTAAAGCACCTTTTGGAACTACCACATAGGTTTAACCACATTTTACATGGGTGGTGAGTAAACTTTGTGCTGAAAGGTACTAACAATTATCAAACCCCTTGAATGAGTGCATTCTCCAGGCAGTTGTCCTTGCAAAACTGGCAGGGCCGCATGCAGGTGGGCAGGCTTGGGCTGCCTGAGCCAGTGCAGCTGTTACTGTGAGGAGACACACAGATCTGAGCCTTTGTTTCTTTTCCATTTTACTGTCAGGCTTGGCCCATGCTTCCTTTGCCAATATTCTGCAACATCTCAATTCAAATCCCAAAAAGACTTTAAATAACCCTATTTCTTGGCTTTCCATCTCTTATTCTCTTTTTATTCGAGAAAGAGTAAGTGAATTTTTATCCACCGAAGGACAATATGCATTTTCTTTGGGAAGTTGGGCTATTCCAGTTCTCAACTTACCTATTGTTTCTTTCCAGGAGAGATACACCATGCAGATTAAAAGTAATCCCCAAACTGGCATAATTGGTTATGTGTATTTAGATTTACTATATGTTAGAAATAAGCATCTAAGTAAAGTTGATGGGAAATGTGTACATTATATCAGATAAAGAGAATGTCAATCTGTCTTAATTTACCTAGATGTTAACAATATGCTTTGCAAACGCTGGATTTTGTTCACCACAAAAATTAAGTTTCAAATTGTATCAGAAAAAATTAAGAAAGAAAGAGCAAGTGAAGTCAAGCTCACAGTAGTTACCAATAGAAAGGCATAGCCACAGCACTAGGTGTGCTTAAAATGGCAAGGAGAGTCATACTCTCAGAAACAAGCCCTGGGAAGTCACACGCTCACATAGCCACTGGAAGTAAGCCCTGACTTGGGACCCGAGAGGGTAAGGGGACAGGGGGCAGAGAAGAGGCTGGGCTCCATGGCAGCCCAGAACCCCAAAGTCCCACATTCAGGCAGGCTCGGATTCCTGTTTTGACATATGGCAGAGATAAGGCCAGTTCATGTCTTGTAGATGATGGGAGGTTACACATTATGAAGAGGGCTCCAAAGAGAACACATGAGAATACAAAGAACAGACCGGACATGGTTGGGACTTGTAACATACGACACATAACATATGACATATAGCAAGAACTTTGCAAATGGTGACAGTAGTGAGTAGGCGAAGTTAAAATTCATGGAGCAACTGTCTGCAGGAGACAAGTGCCAGTAGAACAGCAGGGAGAGGGACTCCATCCACGATTAACTATCACGAAACAGCTTCTTGGGTGATTGATACAAACTGTTGCTGAAAACATAAAAGATTATTTAAAGGTCATGAGTCAAGTGAAGATTATCTGAGGTCAAATAAGAAAACAAGAAAACTCCCAAGAGTATAAATGAGGGAAAATCTGAAGTTAAATCAGTAAGTAGGACAAATAAGATCATAGTAACAACAGGGACACACTTTCAACTAGAAATAAAATCTTTAAAAAAATTACTTAAAATCATGTCTATTAAATATTGTCTTCAAGCATTCAATCAGGTTTGTGTGTGATACCCTTCCCTTCGTACTTACAATACCCTAGGCACTGTTCTAGACCTCACAGTGACAACACTAAGCAAAAAAATATCCCTGTGCTTATGCTTACAGCCTAGAGGGGGGAGATAACTAAAATATACATGTTCTCGGTGGGTAACAAGGCTACAAAGGGGCCGGGTATGATGGCTCATGCCAGTAATCCCAGTACTTGGGAAGGTCAAGGAAGAAGGATTGCTGGAGCCCTGGAGTTTGAGTCCAGCCTGGAAAACAGTGAGGCCCTGTCTCTGTGGGGGTGGGGGTGGGGTGGGGGGGGTGTGTGTGTGTGAGGGGGGAAGACTATGGAAGGGAAGAGAGATAAAAGAGAGGGAGTGGCTGTGAGTCACACATTTACACAGATTGTTAGGGAAAACTGCACTGGTAGGGGTCATCCCAGGAGAGACCTGGTAGGAGAGGGAAGGTCATCAGATCGAGTGTCACACAGAGGGCATGGTGGCTGGATGGAAAGTGAACTTGTATGTGGGAAAGGAGAGTGGCAGGGGTTAGGTTGTCAAGGGTCTTAGAGGCTTTTGTTGGGGTGGGGGGTGGGGGACAGAGGGAGTATATGTGAATATTCCTGTGAAAGCAACCTGCACCGTGTTAGTTTAACAGCCCAGCATCCCAGAAGAACGTGAAATGCACAAATTGCTCTTAAAGTTAATAGACTCAGTGAATAAAAGCATATTGTCTTCAGTCTTTCAATCTATGTCTACATTAGTCTAAGGTCACTTACTATAGTAAGTTGGCAGCTATGATTAAAATAACACTTAAATGGACCCTTAAGAGAGAGCCCTTAAAACCAGATTTTATATATGCAAATGAACTCCTTCAAAGCAGTCACTTTCAAAAATGCTTTCCGGGCCTTCATCTATCAAACCTTGTTCAGGGCTGTAAGTAGTCTCTGCCTTTCTCTCATCATCAATGTCACTGCCTCTGAGAGACCTTTCCTGACCTCAATCACTGAAGTGTCACCACCACCCAAAAAGACTCTTCCCCCAGCCCTGTAAAATCACAGCAGCATATCATATGCCACCTGCACTTTGTAACAAAACATGCAAGACAAGACTTTCGTTTTACTGAATGCTGTTTCTCCAAACACCTGAAGCAACCAAGCTCATGGCCTGAGTTCAACCATGATGCAGAGTGGATGAATGGAGGCCAATATTGGAAATATCTCCGAGTCTCTTGGACTCAAGCCCAGAAGATAATATTCATATAATTTGGGTTAAAAGCATGTTAAAGAACGATGAACACAATGGTTCTTTTGCAGAACATAAATGGAAACTAGTTAACTTTACACCTGGTTCATAACAGACCCTTGATAAATGTATTGTTCTTGTCCATTTTATTTGACCTCTAGCCTGAGATCAAGTACATATTATTCCAAAGGGGAGCTCCCTGAGTATTCCAAGCAATGCACCACTCAAGCACAGCTCCATGGTGAGTTCCCTGGGGAAGGCAATTCTCCAGATATTTTAAGGATTATTTAAAACCTGCCTCATTTCATGTCTTTATCAGAATGTGCCTCCAGTATAAGTTTCTAGCATGAGCTTGTACACAACGTTAAATCAAATATTGTCCTGCAAGAGATCCTACAAGATAGCCTCCTAAAGCTAGGATACGTACTCATCCAAGAGTTAAACTAATTATTCCAGTCAGTTTAACTGTATTTTCATGGTAACCCTTAAGTGCAGATGAGGAAAGAAGGTGGTTCTACACTGGGAAGTTCCAGCATTTTCTAAATATTGGTTTAATGTGTCCTAGTGACTATCATTATGAAATAAGCATTTTTGAACATTGCACAACACAGTTCTGTTTGTTTGCTTCCA